AAAAACAAGTCTGGATCCTGTGTTTGGTTTCTAATTATCACGCTCATTGAAGTTGACTGGCTCTAAATTACACCTATGCCGAGTGCAGCTATTACGATACAATGCATGCATAGGTATTTTAGGAATTTGAGAGTTCTAAGTATACTTCTAATTCATGTCCTCCCCTTAATAATTGATAGGCTTCTAGATAATGCATTATCATTATCATTATACTAGTATTATGTGTGTGTGCATGGAAGGGGGTGTGGTTGGACAAAACATTGTGGGAACTTTTGTCACTCAGACTAATCTCCAAGGTATCAAGGTCCTCTTCCTCCTCTTCCAGTTGAAGTGACCGCTATCATCAAGTTGATCATTCTGTCACTTTTAGTTGAAGGAGGCGAGAGGTCACCAACCTAAGACTGATGTAGTTTGGAAGCCCTAGACACAAAGGTGTCAACAGATGTGGCTTCCACCGTTGTCTGAGGCAGAGCATTCCATTCTTTGACTGTGCGTGGTAAAAATGAGGCCATACGGTACTGGGTCCTACCACCTGGCTGTACAAACTGCTGGCCGTGCACCCTTCTCTCACGTACTGGGGCAGGCTGTAGTTTACTCCTAAGACCATCTGTGCAGACGATGTTATGCTGTATGCGGTATAGCATGGCAAGTCGGGCTGTCTTCCTTCGGGCCTGAAGACTGGGCCAGTTCAGGTCCTCTAGCATTTCTGTGGGACTTGACGTTTGCCTGTAACGTCTCATCACGAAACGTGCTGCTCTGCGCTGAACTGCCTCTAGCCTATCAATGTCTTGTTGGGAATGAGGGTCCCAGACTGTCGCCGCATATTCAAGTATGGGGCGTACATAGGTCTTGTAGGTCGTTTCGATACATCGCCTTTTCGATACAGTCGTTTCGATACATACAGGAAGATACACGAGGTTTACCTTACCTTGGTTGCTTGTAGAAACGCTTTCTTGATATCTTTTTCAGGCTGATCTTTTGCCAGCCTACTAGTAGGATCTCCAAGCAGATCCTAGGGTGGCATAAGACAGTATCAAATTGGTCAGGCAGTATCCATTGGCCAGAGAGGGTCCAACACGCCTTAGGTGGTGTAAACATTAGTCTGGATCTTGTGTTTGGTTTCTACATTCTAATTTTTGCCCTAATTGAAGTTTGCTGAATCTAAATTAATGTTACATTTTGTACTGAGGCTAGCTTTCTAAATGTAAAAGTGTAAGACGATACAGTTCATGCATAATATTAGGTAAGACGAAGGAAGCGAGATTACTTATGAACTTATAGTTAATATCAGTCTATAGTATAGACTGTTTAGATCGTACCCCTCCCCTTAATACCAAAATGATTGATCAGCCTCTAAATAATGTATTGATAATTGAATACTATTATCATTATATTATGTGTGTGTGGGAATGTGCATGGTTGTAAAAGAGTAGGAGCTTTTGTCACTCCAAGGACATTACACTCTGAGTATAATGTCCTTGGTCACTCAGACAACTTTTATGCCCTAGTCAGTGTGATGTTTTTTTTACTTGATTAGGGTGTGTATTTTAGCTCTATTTGTTGCTCTGGGTCTATAAACAAATCTTGATCATGTGTTATGTTTGCGATTATCACTTTCTTTGAAGTTAACTGGCTGTAAAATTATGCATCTTGTACCAAGGCTAGCTTTCATTGCAAACGTGATTCCAGTAAGAACAAGACTGCAACTTTTATCTCATCTGTTCAGGCTCTTCACATATGCTTGGAGATAACTCTGGTATGGACATGATCTGATTATCAATTCGCTCAAGATACAAACATATACAGCTTGACCTAAGCAGAAATGACCATAATATAACAGTGATGTTTTATTCCTTTTACAGAAGTTTGCAGTTCAAGTGTGATGTACCATTCCCAGTGCCGTTGACATCCATGCCACTAATGCACACCGACATGGGCAAGAAGAAAACAGCAACAAGAAAACCCCTCATCACAGCCGCTTCAGCCGGACACTACCGAAAAGTCTCCCAGCTTCTGGACACTGATGGTGACCTAGACGTGCGTGACAAAGACGGGAGGACTGCGCTACACTGTGCTGTGAAGAACGGACACTTGAAAGTTGTGGACATCTTGCTGACAAGAGGGAACTGCGGACGATCCTTGCGTATGCGTGATCCCTATGGCTGGGCGGCGATCCACTTTGCTGCGCAGTTCAACAACAAGAACAACGTGATCGGTTTGCTCTTGGACAGGGGCGCGGACGCCTCCATGAAAACTTACCGAGGGTGGACCGCGCTTCAGCAAGCTGCGTGGAAGGGCGACTGTTACACCATCGCATCACTCCTAAGCCACGAGCATGTCTCGAAACGATCGGTGCTGTCTCCCTCACAAGTCTACAGCAGGACTGCGCTGCACTATGCTGTAGAAAAGGGGCGTTTCGCCGCCACCAAGCTCTTGCTGGAATTCGGGGCTGACATTAACGCGAAGGACATCTTTGGGCAGACACCACTACACCGGGCTGCTCAGGAAAACTCAGTGCGCGAGGTTGAGCTGCTTTTACTAGCAGGGGCAGATTTTAACGCTAAGGACAGGAACGGGAAGACGCCAGCTGAGGTAGCTGCGAGTGGCAGTAAGTGCCAGGAACTGTTGTCAGGACATGAGAAGCACCACCCCAGCCTGCAGCGACTCTGTAGGCTGAAGATACACACAACACTGGAGGAAGTGAGATCAGAGGACAATGTTATCCAAGACTTCCCCCTCCCACCTCCTATGAAGAACTTTCTACTCTTCAAAAATGTTCTGTGAAACAGTAGATTTAAAGGGGGTTCTGTGATGATTGGTGGAGAATTGCTTTTAATTATTGTAGAATTTAAGTTTTAAGGAGATTATTTAGTGGGTCATTAGCTGTTATATAATCTGTATAAAACTGTAGCTCTATACTGAGAATGATTATAAATATCTTATTATAGCAAACAACACTTTATACGTCCAATTCAAGTCAATAGCATAACAGAGGAGTGATGTTTATGGACTATTTTTTTTAGCAAAAGTGATTGATTTGTGTACCAAAGATCTAACCTAGGTTACAGTATATGAATTTGAATGCCATACTAGATGACAAGGTGTGCTTATGCTTAGGGTTGACTCGTGAATCTAAAGGCTCTGGGTTCAAATCCCAGGCGGGCCCCAGTGTT